CCCTAACACCTAAAAAGATTGTTTTAAAATAATGAATAGCATTTAATAACATTAAAATAACTACAGTAAGGTTTGTCTCATTTCTTGTTCTGGACAGTAGATAAGCAGTGGTGTTAACCATTCAGGGTACTCTAAGCTAGAAGGACAATGTTCATAGCACAGTTTTCAGTTCCTTTGTGCTGGGCTCTCATGCACAGATTTCTCCACTGCTCATTGCTGTGAGCAGGTTTTTGTACTGGTGTAGAATCACAGAGTCACACAGATTGGAAAAGATCCTTAACCCAGCACTGCCATGTCCACCCCTAACCTATGTCCCTAAGCACCACATCTGCATGTCCTTTGAGCATTTTTTTTTCCAGGGATGGTGACTCCACCACTTCCTCAGACAGCCTGTTCCCATGCTCAACCACGGTTTTGGGAAAGAAATTTTTCCTAATACCCCATCTAAATCTCTCCAGGGGCAACCTGGAGCTGTTATACAGTGAGTGTAAAGTGAAACTGCTGTGATCTAACAGTAATTAGTTTACTCACATTCATGTAAAAGCAAGGTAGAGGACAACAGAGAACTGTGATCACAATATAAAATTGTTAAATAAAATTTATTTCAAATATGTGTTAGTCTAGTAGTGTATTATAAATTAGGTAAATTATTCACTTGGCGTAGAGATACATAGTAGAGCTTAGGTTACTGGTGAATGTAATTAACTTAGTGGTTTACAAGAATAAAGTTCTCCAGGGATTGTTGTACAATCCCTGTGTGATAACTTGCATTTGTGCTCCAAGTTAGCTTGAAGAAAAAAAGGAAAAAAAAAATGGAAAGTTGTTTTTTTTTTTTTTTTTATCAGGATGCAGAACAACCTGTATTCTCTAAATTTTGTCTATATATAAAATCCTGTAGTTTTATTGAATGTGAAAATATATACAAAAATAGGCATTTAAACTGAGGAAAGTATTCCATCTTAATGCTAAGAACACAATTTGGTTTCTCTGAGGGTGTGAAATTGTACAGGTGTATTAAATGTAACAGAATTTCTTTGTCTTCCCGGTTTTTTTCAGGAAGGGCCAAATGCTGGAAGATAGCCTGATGAATGTAGACATTCATACCTTTTTTCACTTTTTAAAGGTATAGATCACTTAAGGTTAGAATAAGATGAACATTACTTCATGTTATGACAGTATCTGCAAGAGTTAATTTGTCTATCATAGCATTTTAATCAAATGGGTGCAGCAAGCAAGTTCAAAATGTGAAAAGAATTACTGAAAAGCATTTCCGACCTTTAGTTTAATATTGTCTACTCTCCCTTCTCATTACAGGCTATTCAAGTTAGTGATTTCCCTTTTTGAAAAACAAGGTTGATTTAAGGAAAAAGACCTAAGATAAAGTTTGTTTGTTTGTTTGTTTTTTTTTAAGATTGACTAATCTTTATAATTTTCCACTGGACAGTGTACTGGGTGATAAAGGAAGAGTAGGGAGCTTCAGCATAGTACAGTGGATTGTTTCTTAGAGTTCCTAGGTTAAAAGCAGCAGGGGGAAGTCAAAATTTTATTTGCCAAAACACAGTTTCAAAATAATTTTAATTGGTTTTGTTCACAGCTTCAGAGAGGGAATGATGCATTTCTGGGGCTGCTTTGGCACACCTTCATTTAGCCAAGGCAATAACCCCAGGTACTAGTACATGATGGGAATTGTCTGGTTGGAAAGGACTCAGCACAGAGTGGCTATGGGGTCATGGTAAACACCAAGCTGACCATGAACCCACAATGTGCCCTTGCAGCAGAGAAAGCCAACAGCTTCCTGAGCTGTATTAGGCAGGTGGACAGAGGTGACCCTTCTCCCATCAGCGATATATCTGGAGCTCTGTGCCCAATTCCAGACTTCCCAGCACAAGAGAGACGTGGATGTATTGAATCACAAAGAGTCATGAGGATGAATAAGGGTCTGGAAGTTCTCTGGGTATGAGGAGAGGCTGAGAAAGCTGTACTGAGTGACAAGAGAAGAAAATAGATTTAGTCCCCTCAGAGGCACCCGGTGACAGGACAACACAAACTGGTATACAGGAGGTTTCATCTGGACCTAAAAGAAACCCTTCTTTTTCTCTGAGAGTGGCACAGATTGCCTGGACTGTGGAGTCTCCATCCTTGGAGACCTTCAAAGCACAACGGGGTGCTCTCCTGGGCCACCTGCTCTTGCAGACCCTGCTCTCACAAGGGGATTGAAGTAGCCAATCTGCGCAGGTGCATTCCAGTCTCAACTATTGTACAATTCTGTGATTTCATGAAGGTTAAATATATAAGAGAATATTTTCATTGCACTTCAGTACACATTCCCAGTGGTCTGTTAATAAATAACATGGGAAAATCTACCCACTTTCATGATTAAACTTCTGAAAAACTGTCTTTGAATAGTTTTAAGCTGCTGGAATGTATTCTCCAACAGTCGGGAAAAAGCCACTGTTTAGAGTCTTAATTGTGTTTACAAAGATAAAAGAGGTAAAATAAGTGTTCTGTGCAGTAAAAATATGTAAAAACAAATTTCAGAGTTAAAATTATAGGCATGTAGGAAAGTCTGAAAGTCAGAAGAGGCCTGTGGAGATCATGTGGTTTGACCTTCTGGTGCCAGGGCTGTGGATGAGGTTATTTAGTATTGTGTGAAGGTGAATTAGTGGGAGAAATTGTACCATTTCCCTGGCTGCCATGATGCAAAACACTTTTCTTATATCCAGATGAAATTTCCCCTGAAACAACTTGTACTCCTGGGTCTGGTGTCTTGTTGCCATGCATAGTTCTGAAGAGAGTGAGCACCTTCATCTTCTCTTTAGCTGTTTTTTAGTTATTGGTAGACAGACATCTCCCCAAGGCTTTTCTTCTATGCGTTACTCGGGCACATTCCCTTATTGACCCCTCTTTGAATGTCAAGTTATCCAGTCCTCTCACTGCTTTGGTGGTCCTTTGCTGGATCACCTGCATTCTTTCTCTCTTTTAAACTGGAGGAAATTCACTCCATGTAGCCCAAATAGGCATGTTTCTTCTGGTAAGATTGAGCAGCACAAGGAGATTTTTCCAGAACTCTATGAGGATGTCTCATAGCTAGTTATAAGTATCAAAATAGGTTTCCTAAAGTCTAAAGAGAAATAAATCTCACTTTTATTGGATAATTTTTCAGGGTAGTGCAGAAATGAGTTAGTCATAAGAGTGATGACTGAGTATAACAGATTTGAAGCTATTCCGGCCGGAGACAAGGGGTATTCTGCCATTAACTTTGTGGAAGCAGGGAATAGCAATTTTGTAGAAGATGTGCTGAACTGGGGCTGTGGATAGTTGGACTAAGAAAATCAGTCCAATTCCTGTGAAACACAGAGAGCCCTGGGGCAGCCCACAGTGCACAACCCTACAGAAGCCTCCAGAACAGACTTTTTTGCTGCCAGTATACACCTTCCCACCTAAGAGATTGCTTGCTTGCTTTTATATGGAGAACTAGTCTTGAAATTTTTGTTGAAAGATGCTGCAATGAGACATAGCAAACACTGCTCATTGTGTGTTTGTCTGCATCCCTCTCTTGATGCTGTTTTTCTTTGGAGACTAAGACTTGCTAAAATAATTGGGACTCTGGGTTTCTGTACCTCATTTTTGTAGGAAAACTTGGAATATAATAAGGAGTTACATAAAAGTGTATCTAGTAATCAGTCGTTGTAAAAGGAGTGCTCTTCCCCCTCAGGAAAACAGAGTGATGAGCTGGGACTTTGTATTCCCTATTTAGTTTTTCCAAGATGTAGATAATACTAACTTTTTGCCTGTGTCTGCTGCTAAATACAGAACTGACAGGAGCTGATTCTCAGCTCTGGGGTCAGTGGCTTCACAGTACACAGAAAATATTATCTTGGGAGCACTGATGGCAAAGGTCCAGAACAGAGCCAGGAAATATCTTCATAAGCATGGTGCATGAGTATTTGATGTATGGATTCTCTTCCTGCCCCTTCTTATTTATAATATGGATGTGTTCTTTGCATTTAAGTCCTCCCCTCAAAACTGCTGTTTGTCTTTAGTAGTAGAAAAAAAAAAAAAAGGGACAGAACATCATCTGTTGGGTGTTGGTTTCATGATAGAGCTTGGATTGATCATTAACAGGTTCTAAGAAAGTCATCAAAACTCAGGAATAATATCTCTTATCAAAAAGAAATCAATGGTTTTGGTTTATAGAAGGAAAGTGAAGTTTTCTTGATGCTGCTTTTCCTGTTTATGTGTGCATCATTTGAATTACCTGCAAAAGCTGTCCAAACAGTGCATTTGAAATGTCCCTCTAGCAAGGAATGAAAGTTGGGGGGGGGGGGGGGGTCCTTAGCCCTTGACTGGAGGTTTTCAAATAACATGGTGTAGATAAGATTTTAAGTGATAACATTCCTGTGTTGATAGTCACAATCAATAGCCTTGAAGTGGGGGCACGTGTGTGGAGTGAGAGAATGGTGGCTGCAATGTGATTTTTATGACATGCTATGGAATCTGGTGCTTTTCCTTTGCAAACTGAAAGGTCTTGTGAATTGCTTACAGTTTCCATTTAGAAGAAAGCGTCAGTTGTATGAGAATGATCAGCTTGAAAACGTGGGCCTTGACATTCAAGAATCAAAAGTCTCTTAAATGCCTTAAGAATGATGGGGCAGTTCCTAATTTGGGATGGTGTGTCAATAGTAGAGGAATACTTCCATTGTATTGTTGGTATCCTTGCTGAGTACTGCTTAGTGAGGTGTCTGTTTCAAATCACATCAGCAAGCAAGCATCCAGACTCCTCTGTGACCAGAAGAAAGGGTTAAGTCTGAAGGGATACTCGGCATTCTTGGCTTCCCCAGCTGTGTTGATAATAGACTTGCTTCTTTGAGGGTACAGCTGCTGGTGTGGCTGCTTAGGAACAACCTATTAACACCAGGTTCTGTCTTAACAACTGTACTTTGAATGCATTTTTTTTTCTGTTTCTCAGAAGTGGTGCTTAATGTATTTAATATTTTTAGTGCCCTACAGATACCAAAGCAACGTTTGGGGTCCACCTAAAAGTAGTAGGAGACTGGACAGGTATGTAGAAAACTAATTCCTTTTCAGAGACAAATGCCTTTACTTGAACTGTTCTCCCTTTCTGGCTTCTGCACAATTGTTCCTTGACTGTGGTGCATTCTCACCAGAGATTGTTCGTACTTGTTTTCCCAAAGTTGTTTTTATTGCATTCTTGATGCAATCCCTGCTTTATTCAGATGTACTATTTCTTCAAGTAACATGTTTTTTCCACTACTAACTGATCTTCTGATTGCACTGTAATAATTTTCAGCATTTTCCTCCATTTCTGCCTCTTTTTCTTGTTTTTGGGTAGCCTGCTACCCCTGTGCAGTGCCTCTGTACATAGTAGTGTCTGCAGAAATGCTGAAATGTGCAACTCCCAGATAAGCGGATTTTGGTTCCAGCAATTTGGATGGCAGCCAGGTTAATTAACGCCTGTGGTACACTGAGATTACAGGTTTGCTTTCATGTTCTTCCATGCTCTTCCATTGCTCTTTGAATGTCCTCCAGACCAGGGGTGTAAGCCAGGATTCCCTGCAGAGGAGTAGGGCAATTTGGTGCTCTCTGTGATAGTTGTATACTCTAGTGATAGTTGTCCTTATTCCGTAGTGTCTGACTTTGTTCTTGCTCAGCATAGCATTTCCTTGTAAGGAAGACAGATACACTGCAGGGTCTGGTTCATTTCTTATGAAGAAATGTTCTCCATGTTAATTTGTATCAGCTTGTGTGTTTGTGGAATTGAGTCAAATGAGCTTGTCACCCTAAAAGGGATTAGACCAATGCAGAGATAATAAGTCTGTGCATATTTGTTGAACTTTCTAGTCTGGCTGCATACTTGCCTCTGCAGGACTTCAGTAGGCAAAGGCTGGGAGAGCAATGCCATATGCACGTGTTCCATAGTCCCCCTGATTTTCTCTCCTTGCTTGAAATGTTGGCCAGATAGGGGCAGATTAGCCTCTGGTCTGCCTCAGAATGATGGCTCTTTTGTTGGTAAGTATCATTCTTACATGGGAGGTGACAGTAGGCTATTTGGAAAAGTGGGATGGAGAAGTACTAGCTAAATGATTTTTCCAAAAGAAGTGGCATCTTTACAGTTTTCTGATTACCTCTGTGGTGTGAATTGCTCTCTTTAGGCATTTATGTATTATTCTCCCTAGTCAGCATCTATAGTCTCCACTGAAAGGAAGATCTGTCTAGGTTGGACTGTGTGATATTAGGGAACTGTCACATTACAGAGAACATTTCTTGTAGCAGTTTTGCTAAACAGAGATATCTCTCCCAGTGTCAGATATGCTGTCAAGAAGCAGACAGTTTACCCAGCCCTTGGTGCTGCATCAGTACCATGGAGCCCTGTTCTCACTCATTTCCTTAAGCCTTGTGACAATTAATAGTCTCTAATCTGCTGAATGTTTGAGGAAGAATTATTATATTTGCCACGTTCCTTATTATCTTTCTTAAGCATGCTCTAAAGGCTGCTTCTGCAGACAGGATATTAGACTGGAGGAGTTTTTATGAGACACACTGTCATTTGAGCTCTTTTCATGACCTATTCTCTCAGACTTTATCCTATTTATTAAAATTCTCTTTTGTATCACCATCTCCCATTCCTGACAGTTTATACCTGACACCAAAGAGACTTGACAATTTATTTCAGAGAACTCAATTACAAGTCTAAATTAAAAGAATGCAAGAGAGGTGCAGATATGCCACGAAATGCAGAGAAGAACTGATTAGTTGAGGTATTTCTCCTCTGGATAACTTTAGCTTCTTTAGCTGCCTGCACCTGGGTGATGTGGTGAAGGAACATTTCCTGCCACTAGCTGTAAGGACAGGAGAGGGAGTACGGAATGCTGGCAAACCAATTCTGCAAGTTGTTTCGGGTCAAGTCTCTTAACAATGTCCCTGACTGATACCTTGAAAATGTAATAGAATACCTTGTGCTGTAGGTTGGGAAGGCAACTCAATGTCAAGAGAAAAGGGGTAATAGTATTTTCAACTCCGGATGAGAAGTTGCTGTTGATAGTAAGTCATTTATTGCCCATATCCCAGTGCGTATAATTTTAGATTTCAAATAAAATAAGCTGAAAGAAGCAGCTTTAGGAAAAGCCAGTCATTCCAGAAACAATGCTTTGCATAAGAGCCAATACTTAGTAGATTTTCAGGCAGTACTGTTATTTGCTTTTTAAAACCAATTATTTAAATAATGGAAAGTGTAGGACAGAAAAAGTAGGTAAGAGAGGAAGAAGCTACAAAACCAGTAGCTCTGAGACCTTTGCAAACCAACTGGTAATCTAGACCCCCTGTTTCATGCTCCATTCAAACAAAGTGGTGCTGTCTGAGCTTAGAACAGCTGAGAATCTGCCCCCCCTCAGAAGCTGATTTGGATAAAACCATAAATTTCCTTTCCATTATATAAGCACCCATATCCTTTTCCAGTACAAATCTGAGATCTCCTATTTCTCACCCATGTTGTGGTGCTATTAATAACTGTATAGTGCTTAACTTTCATGTTCAGAAAACAGACGGACAGTCACTGGTATTGCTGTAATGTGCCCTCAGATGCCTTTGGAGCACATATTTTCACCTGAAATGATTCCCCTAGCTCTATTTGTAGACCTCTGACCTGTTTATATGTCTAGTTTACGAAAAGACAAGCCAGGCTCCAAGCATGCCTTTTTCTCTTCCTTCATTGTAAAGAGTATGTCTGTATATCATATATCTACATCTATCTCACTGCTCAGAAGTAGGTAGTTTAGTTCATTGGCATTTAGTTCATTGGTTGTGATTTTTCCCATGTAAACATTTCTAATTTGATTTTTCATTCCATATTTTGCCATGGCTATTGTGAACAGGGGAACAGCTATCATAAACCTTCCTAAAAATGGGTTTGTGATTATGTAATTGCTGTCCTTGTGCTGACTTGTGAGCTGCTTAAGTCACCACCTGATGTATTAACAGAACATTCCGTGGCACTGTGAAACCTGTGGCCGTGGAACACGGCTTAGTTGGACAGTCAGGACTTGGCTGCCCAAGTTAGGATGTGTTTACAGTGGCTGATCTGTGGTGATTGCACACAGGCAGGTTGGTTTAGCCCCTGGTGCAGAGCTGAATCAGCCTGTATTCCTCTGTGGCTTCCTCAGGCTGAGCTGGTTGGGTGTTTATACCCTGCAGTAACGTTGAGGGTCCTGCAGTGTCTCATGCATGGGTCAGAGCTGTGAGATGCATGGATGAGCTAAAAACCTGATCTTGTTTCTGGCTATCCCCTCTCAACACCCATTTTGTTCTGCTTCTCTTGGTACCTGTGGCCATCTATTTTTTCTTTAGCTTTGAAGTAATTGTTGGCTTAGTATTTACAACACAATTTTTTTCAAGGTTTTTTCTTGTCCCACTTACTGTTTAGTTTGTCCTCAGCATTGTCATCTATCAGCCTTATGTCTCTTCTGTCCTTGCTGCTGACTCAAGTACTACTGCTTGTTTAGTTTTAAAGTTGACATTTCATCTGGCACCTCTGGAGGGAAAAAGAGAGGCCATGGGCCATGCCTCGCATCCAACAACTTGACAGCAGTGAAAAAAGACATGGCAGTGTATCAAGACAATGTGTCTCATTCACTAGACAAACTTGAGGGTGTGAGACAGAAAGTGATATTGATGATGCAGGAATAACAGGCTTCAGAAGCCATGCAGCATGTTTTTGTGGAAAACAAATACACAGCACTCAGAGGTGTTGAGGTGAGCTGCATGCCTTAAGGCAGTGAAATATTGCTGTTATGTTGCAGTGTGTTGCTGGAACAAATTGATGTGGCACCATGTTTAGGGCACTGATGCTGTTCTGTGCTCCACAGTAATTTGTATAATTTTTACCTAGTAGTGACACCATCCTACTGTGCAGTTGTGTATGTTCCTGGAGACATTTTCAAGGCTTGTTCTGAGCACCGTGATATTTATTGTGGGTATGCCATAAGAGCACTTGAGTACCACCCGTTAAATCTGAGAGTTCTGTCCCATCGACATGTTGTGGCAGCAGGAGGTGGTGATGTGTACAGGAACTGTCCAGGTAGAGCCAGAACAGACAGATTATGGAGTACTGATGTGCTTCACCCTAATAAACTCCAGATCTGGTTTGAAAATGTTTATCTTTGCTTCATTTGTTTTGTTACAGATGAGGTTATGCCTGGTAACTGGTTCATTCAGGTACAGGCGACCTTATTTTACAGGGGACATGGCATAATGGGAATTTTTGTCACATATTGTCACAGTCCTTTTTCTGGAAGGTCCAGCTTTGAAGCAGGAAGTTTAATGAGGGAAGAACAAACCAACCATTTTTCAGTTGAAAACAACAATTTTTCAGAGCATGGCAAATGTATGAGAGCATCTTGTTTAATTCCCTGTGAATTAAAAAAAGAATCTTGTTTAATTCCCTATGGAGTAAGACCTGAGACAGCAAACAGTACACACCCCAAATTACTTGTTTTTAAGCAGAAAAACAAACAAAAAAGTAGGGCAGTTCTTTGGGATTTTGGAGCCTGATTAAGGATTTTTCTCACATTGACCAGAAGAAGAAAATGACGCACCTTATAAGTGCCTCTGAAGGAAGAATGATCTGAACATTCTGGTCTGGGAGAGTTTGTCAGGAGTATCTGCATGACCATGTTAGGCTCTTGCAGCTCCTGATTTATGGGATGTCTGAAGCATCCCAAGGCTATGCATTCCTGTGCTTACCTGGAACATCTCATCAAATGTAGGATCTAGCAAAGAGGCAGTATTTTAGGTTCAGTAACCCTGAGAACAGTTTGAGATGTATAGAAGCAATGGCTCGCTCAGTCAGCATCTCCTGTATTGTTAGTGGACCTTGATTCTGACTGAAGTCATGTGTGGAACAGAAGATGACAAGAAGGAATAATCAGACTATAAAGTCTGTCCACAGGAAATGACAAGGTTGTCCCAGGTTCACTGTAACTGCTACTGAGTTTCTTTGAAAATATCTACTCACTGGTGATGAACATTTGGTCAACTCTTTTGCT